TTACGTTATTATTATTAGTAATAATAAGAGTAAATGCTATTTAATTACGGGCGGCCGCATCCTGCTCCCGGCGCCGCCGCCCTGGCAGCTCCGTCCATGCGGCTCCGGAGCGCTGTACTTTCATTTCCAGCCCCTCGGCCGGCCGCTCGCGGCAGCACCCACTGGAGGCCCCGTCCGTCTCCCTGCAGCGCTTCCTCCTCGGGTCCTAGCGCGGCTCCCCTCGCCTGGCGCCGGGTGGGCGGCGCGGGCTAAAAGGCCCAGGGGGCGGGGAAGTCCCCCTGCCCCCTGGAAAGCTCATGCCTGGAATTCACCTTTATTTTCTTTTAAGTGCACTTTCCTTTTAGGGCTTTTTCTTTTGGCGATTTTGCATTTCTGGGCGGATGCTGATCTGACTCTGCGCCTCCGCCCTTGCCCACACGAGTCAAAGCCCCCTGGTTTCCAGGAGCATTCAGTGAAGGCTTCCAGAACCCCTAGCTGCGTTGTGTCCTTTCCACAGATGAGGTCCAGAGGTTCAGAGAGGAATGGGCTGGATTTCTAATGTGTGGGATCTTTCCCGAAAGGATTTGAGGCTGCTTAGAAGTCCCAAAAGGTAAGGGGAGATTACCAAAGGAGAGACCGGCAGTAAGCATCCTGGCACCGCCTCAGAGCTGGCCAGGACCAGACTGAATTTGAACCCAGAGCTTCGGATTCCAAATACAGTGTCATCCCACCCTACCACTACCTGCCCCGTTGATTGCTGAGAGTTTTCTCAAATTTCCGTCTCTTTATTTTGCACACACACGTAGTATATATATGTACGCATATATGTACGCGTAAATATCATTTTTAAAATTTATTGAGGATAAGCCGTGGGCCTGGAAGACTTTACAAATGTTACCTCTTTCACAAACATTTCTCCCAGACACAATCTTAGGAACTGGGGGTAGGTACATCGTGGAGACAAATTTTAAACACTGTGGTAAATGCTGGGAGGGACAAGAAACTGGTGCTGTGTTTGCTTATTTAATTCTCACAGCAATCTTGGAAGATTGGTTTTAGCATGCCTATTTTACAGATGGAAAACTGAGGCTGGAGATGAAGTCCAAGGTGGCAATTCTGACTCCAGAGGCTGTGTTTTACCCTTTCTACTATGTGCTTTAAGGGAGCCTTGAAAGGAAAAAAAAAATGCATCTTCAGAAATTCTCAAACTTTTCCTTCCGTGGATGCCATCTCTCACCTCATTACTCTAGGACAAAACAAAAAGGTGGCCTCTGGTATTAAGAAGATGAATGTTTACGTCCAGAAATGAAAAGCAGAGTCCAGTGGCCCTCAGACTCACTGCTTGATGGGGTTCGTTTACAATGAAGACCTCTAATCCTGTCCCCTGCCCCCTCCCCAGCCCAGAGATTCTGTTTCAATATTTCTGACAAAGCATAGCCGTGTGGATTCTGACGTGCAGTAGGAGATCAGCCCCTAGATCACCTGCGATAGATCTAAGATCATGAGCTAAAGGCAGCCACAGTACAAGCCTGGCGATTAGGGAAGGTAGGAAGTATGATGGAGATGTCACCCAGGCAGCATTAGAGAGACCAAGGTCGATTGGAGTCCTGGCTCTGCCACTTGCCAACTGTGTGAGCCCGGCCAATCTCACAGCATCAGTTTCCTCATCTATAAAAGAAGGATAAGAACACCTAAGTTTATTTTAAGGATTACAGTGAAATAACCCCTGTAAAGCATGTAGCATCGTGCCTAGCCCATGGTGGAGGATGAATACAGGTTAGTTCCAACACCCCCTGTGCAATTTACAGTGAAACGCTCAACAATTTATCAGATTATGCACTATTGTTATTACACTCCCATTTTGTGGATGAAGATGCTGATTCCATTTCGATTCCTACATCTTGCCTCAAATGAACTAGCTGATAAATGGTGCGGAGATTCCGCCATCCTAGACTGCCAGTGGAATAACACATATCCTTAAACGAGGACTAACCAGCATTCGAGGGGGAAGTCAGCTGGACAACAGCCCCCCATCGCTTCAGTTTGGCACCCACTGGTTAAACTATCTGCATTGCCTGAAATGGTACATGGCCCTTTAAAATGTAGCCCCCAACCAGAAGTGGTAATGCTTTGGAGAGAAAGGCCCCAAGCTTAGCAGCAGCAGGTTATTTTTTGCGGGAACCCCAATTCCCCGATGTCCTTGGGAAGTAATACTCTACTTCCCCACAGTGAAGCTGAAATAGCAGTAATAGCCACCACTTCTTACCATGGGCCAAGCGCTTCATACATGTTGATTCTCTCACTGTCCTCCAAACTCAGTAAGGTAGAGATTGTTTTTACCTGTTTTTAGGTGAAGTAACAGACACAGAGTAGTTAGGCACCTTGGTTGAGGTCACACAGCTAAGAAAGCGGGAGACGGAACTCATTCTCAGGCCTGATAACTGTACCTTGATGGGGACTTCTTAAATCTGGTTGCATCACTGTCTACCCACAAGGGCCTGTCATGTGAGTAGGTCACTGGAGAAGGGGAGTTGTACACTTATGCTCACCTTTGAGCAACTGACAGGTGCATCATTCAGTTATCACTTCTCCATCGAGCACCTTTTGCTCCAGGCTTAGGCCGGCCGCAGCCTGGCCCCCAGAGATGCCTTGCTGTTTCCTGGGGAGGGCCTGAGCATGTGGCAACCTTACCTGCCACCATATGCAGTGTGCCTTCGCTCACTTGATAAACATTCATTGCCAGGCCCCACTTTGGGTCCTGAGACTGCAGAGAAGCCCCATGTCCCCACAGCTCCAGCCCAGTCCTGGGTCCCAGCCCTCCAACAAGAGATCTTAAGCTGGGATTTGGCGAAGGATCCTGAAGATGTATGTACAATTTTAGGCTTAGGTTGGGGATAGTAAGAGTATTTTCCTCATAGGGTCACTTTGAGGGTTAAGTGAGTTTCTGCATGCAAAGCAATGAAAAATTTGTGGTTAACTAAAAAACAAATAAATAATACATTCTTTTGTGAAATTCCATAGAATTCAGATTCTCAAAAGTGAAAGTGACTTTGAAAAAGAGAGGGGAGGACCCAGGAGCCCAGAGGCCGAAATAGGCTAGCCACCGACCTCTAACACAGTGGATGAAATGCAGCGGATAAAACATGGTCACGTTTGTCTCCTGCGTGTTATTGATTGTGAAAATGTCCAAGCGTACAGACAGCTGAGAGAACTGTACAGTGAATATTCGCATGCCCTAGATTATGCTACAATTGTTAACTTTTTTTTTTATTTATCACATATTCATCCTTCTCTTCATCCCTCCACCATAACGTTTTTGTTAAAAATGAAACAGGAAATTTTTAGCTCTTCTTTATGCTCTTTTACATTTATACTATTTTTTAAAAATTACCATCAGTTTTTATTTTTTTTAATTATTGCCATTTTGGAACAAGAGAATTTTTAAAAGAGAAAATCATCTACCCAAAGCATTTGGTACCACAAAACCTTTTACAAATGTTAGTCCCCAATTTAAGCTGCTCTGCCGACACCATCTTTTTCTATCTCATTCATCACTAGATTCTCAGAGCTGGAATAGTACCTGGTACAAGTAGATATTCGATAACTATTTATAGAGTTAATGAATTATTTTAATTATGGTTGTTTGTGGAGGTTAAAAAAAAAAAGAGTATGTTCTGATGGGGAGCCCAGGGGGAGATGTGGTTTGAGTTGTCTTTTACAGATGATGTACAGACCCCCCTTCTCACCAGGGGAGGTGACCCCTGGGAATGAGGAGGCAGGGTCCCCTGCATGAGGCTATGTCAGGCCCACACCAGGGCCCCAAAGGAATCACTTGTTTGGATCTTAAGAATTTCTCTCCACATTCCTCACGTGCCTGGCATACTTTAGGAATTTGTTTTTGATCTGACTAAATGGCAAGTCTGCAGCCCTGGTAGCACTTCAGCATAAATATTATTTATTCCATTTACAATTGGCAATTAAGTTTGTTTTCAGGCCCCAGAATGGAATTTAAAACACTCAGTTAAAGTAAACCAAACTAATCAGAGGCAGCCTGATTTTCTTTTCAAAACGTTAAAAAAACAAAACACAACACACTGCACAACAGAGAGAAAGCTTTGTAACATTCCTCCTCCCCTTATTCCCACCTCGCGCTCACAGAACAACCTGTTTTGTGTGTGAGTTAAAAAGAAGCCTAGAGATCTGGCTTCTGCTATTGCCTGTCTAAATTTCTGTGTAATTTGGGCAGGTTATTTGACCTCTCTGGGCCACAGTTCTTCATCTGTTGAAAAGAGGAAAGGGGTGGCCTACGATGGCTTTATCCGTCTGTCAAAGGCTATGATTCCACTTCTTGAGCTAGGCAAACAGATGGGCTCTAACGTGATAACTTAAAAGAGAGAAAGTTGTAGATAGAGAAGGAGAGGAGATGACAAATGTGTTGCTTGGAAACACTGATGGTTCAGAACTCTTCTGACTCACTGTACAAACCCCCTTCTTTTAAACCCCAGTCTTCCCATTTTAAAGGGGCTTGTGCTAGAATCTAGATTCAGGAGCAACAGATAGAAGAATCCGGATTGCTAAGCAGTGCTGTCAGGCTGGATGTGTGATTTTTAGCTTTGAATGTGAACACCTTCAGGCAGACCATCTACTCTCCAGTTCTCCACAAGCCCCACCGGGCCACCATTACCTCCTCTTCCCTCCCTGGTCTTTGAAGACCATTGAGTTTCTGCTAAGAATTCTCTTACAGTTCTGAAAACCCTATGATCCATCAGCTGGACGAGGTAGGGGAAGATCCCCTAAGATGTTCCACCACCCACCTTCCTCTTCTCTTTGAGACATCTCCGTCAGAGGGCCAAGGAAAGTCTCAGGAAGTAAAACTGAGAAAAGGAGCCTGCGGATCACCCTCAAGAACCCCCCAGACCGATTTGATTGGTCCTAGCTGGAATCGGCACAGGAATAGCATTGGGCCTAATTGGGAGCGTCTCAGCCTTCTCAGATGATGATTCATTTTAAGCAAATATCTGATGACTCTGGCTGCAATCCAGTTAAAATGAAGAAACTTGAAGCACCTATGACAGGCCTGGCCCGGAGAGGATGCTGCCAAGATGACTGCAGAGGAAGCTGTCAAGATTACTATTAACTCTGTGAAAAAGCCCTCAAAGCTGCAGACCCACTGCTGAGCCAGCTTGCAGCTTCCCGTGGGGGCCCAGAGGAAGGCAATTCATCTGGCCTGGAGTGGTGTAGAAAAGCCTCCTGGGAGAGGTGGTGTTTCATATGGGCCTTGTAGGAAGAGGAGAAGGAGGGTGGAAAGGGGACCCACATCTGAGTAGTCTTGGGAACCAGGGGCTGGCACTTCGGTTTTCTCAGCTCTGTGCTGGGAAGGGTGGTAATGATACCCCCTTCCTTTGTGCTTGCAAAGATTAAATAAGCTGTATGCGACAGGATCTGGCTTGTAATATTTAACTCTGAACTGCAGGTAGTGCGAAAACATGTGTGTGGGCTGAGTTGTGAGGTAACTTTGGAAAAGACGGCTGCGTATGTTGATGGTGATTGTCTCTGGGTGCTAGAGTTTCTCAGTAATGTTTACTTTTCTTTTTTCCTGCTCAATATTGATTGGTTGAAATGTTTACGATGAACACATTATTTATATAGTGGTTAAAAGATTTTTGTGAAAAGAAAAAAACCACTTTTGTTCTGACACTTTAGAAAATTCAAACCTACGGAAAAGTGGCCAACATCTTCAAAGAACTCCCACATACCCTTCACCCAGATTCACTTAGTGTTGACATTTTGCCACTCTACTTTTGGATAGCAGAGAAACCTGTATACACCTTTTCGAACTATTTGAGAATAGGTTACAGCATAGATTTCCCAAGAACAAGGGCAGTCACTTAAATAACCCAATATAGTAATTAAAAAATCAATAAATTATCTCATATACAGTCAAGTCTTGCTAATTGTCTCAGTATTGCCCTTTATAGTAATCCCCACCCCATCCCCAACTCCAAGACTTAATTCAAGACTATGTATTTTCTTTAGTCTCTCTTAATCTACAACAGTTCCTCGGTTTTTCTGTCTTTCATGACAAACGTTCTTGGAAAAGTACATACCAGTTATTCTGTAACATGTTCCTCAGTTTGGGTTTGTCTGATGTTTGCCCATGATCAGATTAATTTTATGCCTTGCTGACTTGATAGTGATGCTGTGTCCTCAGTGCATCACAGCGGGAGGTGTGCGATCGGTATCAGTTTGTTCGTTATTGATGTTAACGTAGATCGCTTGGGTGAAGATGTTGTGGCAGAGTTTCTCTTCTATAGCGTTACTATTTCCTCTTTTTAATTATCAAGTAATTTGTGGCTATTTACGTGGAAGGCTTAGAATGTCCTTTCAATTTCGTGGGACAAAAAAGGCCGAAGCTTTCATTTCAGAAAATGGACACCTATTTCTCGCTGAACAGTGCCAGCCTTTGTCAATAAAGTTCTATGAACGAGCACCTTTCCGGAAGGGCTGGGACGCTCGGCCGCAAGGCATTAAGGGAATTGTAGTCCCCCGCGGCGCTCGCGGCTAAACGCCGCCCTGTGGTCTCGGGGAGAAAGAGCCAGAAGCCGAAAAGAGGTAGCCCTCGAAGGCGCTCTGGACGCGGTGTATCACGGGAATCGTAGTTCGCAGTTGCGCTCCGTCGCGCTTCGCGCGGGAGAACTGGACTACCATACCCGAGAGGCCACGCGCGCAGGGGCAGGGGCAGCCGTCTGGGCCTCGAACAAATCAAATCCAAGGAAAGAAACTGCCGGCTTTCAAAATCCTCCTCCTCCGCCATCATCCGCTGCCGTGCGGGGAGCAGGTGGTATCCGAGACGCGAGTGGCGAGAACTGCCAAGAGAGCTGACAGACAGGCGGGCTGGGCTTCGGCACTGCTGGACTCGGAGGCGGCGCCCCCGACCTGACCCGCACCCTAAATCAGTCCGCCAGTCGGACGCACGCGCTTGGGTCGTCCCACGCGGCTGCGTCTGTTTACGGTAAGGTCGAGGTCCCTTTCCTTTCCCTGTCACCTGCCTGGGGTGGGGGGCGGGGCGGCTGTGGAACTGGGCGAGGAAGGTGTGGCGCCCTTGAGCGCCTTCTCCCCAGCGACTGCGATGGCCAAGCGCGGAGGTGTGGGAGTGGGGCTGCTGGCCCCTTTCACAAATGGGGAAACTGAGGCTTAGAGAGGGCTCCTGGCTGGCCTGGCCCGCGCATCCCGCCGCTGCCAGCAGTGGCGTCTGCTGTTAGCGTCGGTGTAAAGTCGGATCCCTGGTGGGGAATCCCGGGTGGGGCTCCCACGCTGCCCGCCTGTCATTTGCGGCCCCAACTCGCGCGTCGCTCCTTCGCCGCCGCCTCCCAATAGGCTCACACCCACGGAGGCCCTGGGCTGACGCCGCAGCCCTCGGGAATCGGCGTGAGTCACTGCTAACGCTTCGCAGAAGCGAGGTTTGTGCACCTAAGAAAGTGTGACGCCCCTGCCGAGAAGGAAGAGGACTGTTTGCGTATTTACTGTTTGTCTTTGCTCTGCCGGTTTCCTCTTTGCAGACTATGGACAAATGAATTCACCCTCTGTGCTTCGGTTTCTTAGTCTTGCATGTGGGTCGTGTGTGTACACTAAAGGGTATGGGCTTTCCTCCAGCTGATAAATCGTGTTCCTATTCCACCTGGAGGCTCCACCACCACTTTTCTGGTCTCAAATTGTCCCCTCCCAGAACCTCAAGAGGTGGTGGGGTTTGGGGCTAATTTTTATTGTTTCATCTCCTCGTTGGAGCACCGTCTGAATTCGTCAGATAGAGGAACCTGTCGAAATGTGTCACATCACCTCTCTCCTCTCCTGGAAACCTTCCAGGGGCTCTCCTTGTCACTCAGAATAAAAGCCACAGTTTTTAAAATGGCCTTTGTGACTTGGGCCTCTTGTTAATTCTCTTACTTCCCTTTCATCCTCTCTCTCTGTTCTCCAGGCCCACTGGCCTCCTTGAAGTTCCTCTCCCCCATAAGATCCCTTGCATTTGCAGTAATGCTTTTCCCCCAGGTATCTGCATGGCCCAGTCCCTGACATCCATCACGTCTATGTTTCTTTCCTAATAATACCTTTTCTAACCATTCTACTTGAAATTGCAACACCCACCCATTCCCCCCCCCCCCAATTCTTTCCCTCACTTCTTTCCTTATTTATTTTTCTTATCAGGTACTGCCTCGTTTAACTAAATATTTTGTTTAGAACATATGTTTCGAGAGGGCAGGGTTTTTGTTTCATTCGCTGCTGTACTTCTGGTACCTGGAACAATGTCCAGCACACAGTAGTACTCAATATATGTTTAATGAATGAGTGGACGCCTCCTTCCCCAGAAGAATAATTCTTGCTTGTTGATAAAGACAGACAGACCATGGCGATAAGGGTTAAGATAAGGAGAAGGGGTGAGAAGTTGGCAATTTGAAGCCTGGGCGAGTGGGAGGATGGGGAGCTATCACAACTATATCTTGAGGATGACCAGATTGGGAGAGGAATCGTTCTGGTAGGAGTCTCCTAGTGGGCATCTCCTAGTTCAATCCCCCCATATCAGTCTTCCTTGGTCTCCCCGGATTACCTGCCATTTCCTCTTTGGGGAAGTGGAGTATTCCTTTTCTATCAGTCTGCTGAGCTCCAGGCCGGAAGCTCCTTTTTTCAGCGACTGTGCCCCTGGTCTATTGTGATGGTGGCCGTTGTGATGTAGAGACCTCTGGTCTCCTAGGAACCCCTGAGCTCTGACCACCATGGGCTGCCTTGTCTCCTGGCCAAGGTTGAAACCAGATGTGCAGTGGGCTGTCCCCTGTGCCTCACCCCCCGAGTCATGCCAGCGTGGGTGGTGGGGCATTCTCTGGGATGGATGACCTGGATCCCATAGCTATCTACGTCCTGTTTGAGAAATGGGACCCTCAAACAGAGAGCAGCCAAGATGATCAGGCAGGTGTGTGCTTGGGACAAGCTCTTTGCAGCCACGAGTCTGAGACTCAATCACCACTCACCAGGGCGCAGCAGCTGTGTGACTTCTATGGCTTTACTGGATGTCCCAGCTGGGGCAGTTGGGCGGAGGAGGACTTGTAGCAAGATGGTAACTCTTCAGAGGCAAAATGTGATTCTTCTGCTTTCTTGCTACCTCCTCCACCATTTAGAACTGTTCCTTCCGTAATACTCTTTCTTTCCGTTTCTCTCAGTGGCTTAGCCCTTGAGATTTCTGTAGTAGGGAAGGAGGGCTCAGGCCCCTGAAGCAGTTGATGTCCTACCCTGCCCTCCCCAAGCAGGGAGATTCTTCTCTCTTAATGAAACTTTGGCCTTCTCAGTTTGCAGATTTCCAGGGGAGCCCACCAGCGTGTCCAGCATGGCCTCTGAAGACATTGCCAAGTTGGCAGAGACGCTAGCCAAAACCCAGGTGGCTGGGGGACAGCTGAGCTTCAAAGGCAAAAGTCTCAAACTCAACACTGCAGAAGATGGTGAGTTCCTGCAGGGGCTGACCCAAGGGAGGAAGGGAGTGTGCGCGTGGGCACTTGCTCTTGCTAGTTGTCAGACTCATTTAGCTGCTTTATCACATTATTTGTTTCCGCAGCTCTGTGAGGTATCACTGGGCCCATCCAACAGTGAGGCTCAAAGGTGATGTGCCCTGAGTGCACAGGCTTCCCTGCCACTCTTCATGTTTGCAGTGGGCGTTCTTGCCCGTGATAGCTCAGGCTGCAGCTGGGAAGGGCCGCTTATCTCTTGTGGGGCATAGAGGCAGTGGCAGACCACAGTTAATGGCAGTCCCAAGATGCGGTCGCCAGCTCCTTACTTGAGATCCACCCCCACCTTCACCCCCATGATCCCAAGGAGGTCTGGAAATACCTGTCACCTTTCCCAGAGCTGAGGCCCTCTTGGAGCTGCATTAAAACAACAATCTAGACCCTCTCGGGAGGTCTGGTCCATGCAGCTGAATGCCCCCGGGAGAGGGCAGATGCCCCTGGCTGTGTATGGGCACCAGGACTGGAAGGAACTAGGAATCAGAATGGAGACCCTTTCTTTCCATCTGTGGCCAAGGCATGGTTGGCACGGACCAATCCCGAGGCCTCTCAAGGTTCTGGCCCAGCCAGGGAAACTAGTCTGGACTTGCCTGGTTGTCATGGTGTGCAGGTAGGCTTGCCCACCTCCACCAGGTCACAGACTGCTCGAGTCCTTGGGTTGCTGGGAGCACGGTGACGCACATTTCTAACATCTCTGCAGGGCCTTGAAATGTACCGAGTTCTTCCCTGTGCTTTTATTACTTTTGATCCTTGCATCATCTTTGAGGGAGGAGGTAGAAATGTTGCCATTTTATAAATAAGGAAAAAGGACTTAGAGGAGACTTAAGTAACTTGGCCAAGGTTCTGCAGCCGGTAAATAGCAAAGCTAGGATTTTAACAAAGATCCAGTTATATCCTTGTTTCTGTGCTTCTCTGTAGACATTCAGCTCAGTGCCTTGAACATAGATTTGCTACTAAATGATATTCATTGAACACTGTGTCAGGCAGTCTTAAGTGTCATACAAATAGTAACTCAGTTTATTCTCACGAAAGCGCTTGAAGTAGGTTTTATCTCCATTTTGCAGGTTGGAACATTGAGGTTTAGGGAGGTGCTATGACTTGCTTAAGAGCACAGCGGTAAGTAGTCCCACTGGGCTTAGAACTCAAGTTTGTCTGGCCCTGAATTAGTGCAGATAACCCCTTCACCAGGCCAGGCTGAACATGCCGCCTCGCATTTAGAAGGTCACAGGGATGCCCGGCTGACAGCCTCAGCCTCTGAGAAGCTCCTAACCTGAAATGAGAATGAGGTACCCCAATAACTAACGGGACAGAAGATGGAATATACTCTGGTAGACGAGAACAGAGGGCTCTGGGAAGGAGGGCAGGCGAAAGGAATCACTTAGCTTAGGAGGGCCCAGAAAGTCTCTGGATGAGGTGTTATTTGAACTGTCCTTGAAGGAGGATTTCAAGGAGAGAGGGCACTGCAGGCAGGGAGAACCACATGAGTTTGGCATAGGAGCTGAGACACATGGCGTGGGCTCAGAAGAAGTCAGAATCCTATAGGGAGCCCAGGGCAGAGGCCCTTGAATGCTGTGCTGAGATGCCTGGTGGCCTCATCCTTGGCCCAGAAAGGGATTTAATCTTGGCTGGGAGTGAGCCAGTGTGTCACGGGTGGGCAAGGCCTGCACGAGACCATAAAACTGATGATTAGAACAAGGCCCTTTTCTCTGCAGGAAGTACCTTTAAGGACCAAAGAAAGGCCTTCCTGTTTTACATGGCAAAGGGATAAATACCTGGAATTTGTTACTTCGTGAGGTTGCAGAGGCTGAAAAGAGAACTCCCTGCCACTCAGCCTCATGACTGGGTTATTCGGGAATGGTTCGGGCCTGTTTGTAACCTGTCTTTAGGTATGACTAACCATTTTTGGACTGAAAGCCAAGTGAGAAAGGCAGCTCATCGTGGCTCCACTCTCTCCCCTCCCCACCCCTCCCATTCTGGTGCATTGTCCTCCAAGGCTGGTCTGTGCCATGTGATTCTCGTCAAGGCCGGACTCCTGGAAAGCATCGCACCTGTGTATTTCTGTGCTTAAGTCGCTTGTACAGCATAAGTTGTCTTCCCTTGGGACCCTGACGTCTGTCACCTTGCTTTTAAGGACTGCGTAAACACGCCCTTGAGCTGAGCATCCCTCTCCGTGTTGACCTGGCCAGTCCCCGGGTATTGGAGGGGACTTCCTTTTGGAGCAGGTCTTCCAAAAGCCCAAGATGTGTTCCAGCCCTTGCTCTAGGTGGCCCCTGCAGAGCGGTCGCCCAGGAGAGGGGCAGAGCGAAGGGAGGGATTAAGGGGCTCCTCTGTGGGGGGGCTGCGTAGAGTCCGTGGTTGTGCACAGAAGCAAGAGTCTGGGGAGGAGGATGTAGCTTCGCTGTCGGAAACCCAGTCTGAAGCTCAGCTCTGCCATTTCCCTTGAACTCCTGGGCAGAGTTACTTCATTCCTTGAAGCCTCAGCTTCCCCTTCTAGAAAATGGGAGGCTCATACCTGTTCAGCCTTTCCGCCCGTGAAATGAGAAATGGAAAATGAATGCTGGTCACCACTTTCTAGCTGTGTGACTTTGTAGGCATTTACTTATCTTCTCTGTGTCTCAGTGTACTCAATCGTGAAGTAGACATAACAGTAACCACCTTATTAGCTGTGAATATATGAGTTGATGGGTGTAAAACATATGTTAGTGTGTTAAGTGCTTATCCGTACATGTGCGAGCAGAGGCGGAGTGAGTCCCTTTCCTCATGGAGCTCATGACCCAGCGAGGAGGACAGTGTTAATGAAGTCAGCACGTAATGATCGAATAATCATTTAGACGGGTTCAAATTATCTACACGTGTGAGATGGGGCTGGGATGCTGTGGCTTTGACCTGGCTGGGAGGCTGGCAAGGGCTTCTGAGGAAGTGCAGCCACCGCGGAGGCGAGAGAATGGGAGGCAGGTGTGTGCAAAGGCCCCCAGCTCGGGACTTCTTAGGGAGCTGCAAGTCACAATCTTTCTTGAGACCCTCTGTGGGCTTTGTAAGCTAGAAGGTCAAGTTCAAACTTTTATTCCTCGTATCCATTTTCATCTCTTCCCTACCATGTCACCCTACCCCACCCACTCCATCCTCTTCCATCCAGACTAGATTTTGTTTTGTTTTATGTAAGTGGTGTGTTTTGTTCAGATTACAAAGTTAATACATATTCATTGTAGAATACAGAAACATTAAAAAAAAGGGTAAAAACTATATTATCACACAGCTCAGGGATATAACTACTGTCAATTTTTGTACATTTTTTAGTCTTTTTTTCTTTTTTTCCTAAATATAGCTGAGGTCATCTTTTTTTTTAATAATTGGAATCATATTACAGATACTTTAAAAGCAGCTTTATAACCTGCTATATTGAGAGCATGTTAGTGCAGACGATGGGAAAACGCAGGGTCATCCATACTCCCACCGCCTCGAGAACTGCTTTAGCATTTGGTTTCTGTCTTTCTGAACGTTCCTTTGTATGTGTGTGAGAGAGAGAATTCATGTAACATTTAAAAAGTGTTATGGAAAAATTTTGTTGGCTAACCTCATTTTTCACTCACCACTCTAACATGAATATTTTCTAAGTCAAATGCCTTTGTCTCCATTCGTAAAGACGTTAGTGTAACTGCACCCCAGTACCTTACCTATCAGCCTGTGTTCTGTCTATAGACATTTAGGTCTTTTGTAATTTTTCATCATCATAAAACACTACAGTAATGAGCACCCCAAATATGAATGATTAAACCCTTGAAAGCCTTCGTGCCATTGTGTCCGCTGGCCCTCTAACGTGGGTGCCATTTCCCTGCTTGGCCCCGTACCCTCCCTGTCCTGGGAGGCTTCAGGCACACCACCCACCAGGTGTCACGAGCACTTTCTTCACCCCAAGCAGCCAGGTGCTCTTTCTCTTGGCCCCCAGGCCTTTTACACATGCCTTGTTTCAACATTTATGACAGAATTGTCTGTGTGGCTGTGTTCCCTGCTAGACTGTGAGCCCATCTGAGTATCCTTTGTAAGCCAGGGCCTGGCACGTGGGAGGTGCATCATGGCTGTTGGAATTGTGAGTGACAAGGTCGTGGCTAGGCTCTCTCCTCTCTCAGTTTTTCATGACTCTAAAAGAATAAGGTTCTGTTCTTTGGTCCTGACAGCCAAGGATGTGATTAAAGAGATTGAAGACTTTGACAGCCTCGAGGCTCTGCGCCTGGAGGGCAACACGGTGGGCGTAGAAGCAGCTAAAGTCATCGCCAAGGCCTTGGAGAAGAAGTCGGAGCTGAAGGTGAGATCTTCAGGACGAGTGGGCCCAGACCGTTTGGGGACAAGCTTCTGATCAAACAGCCACAACCCACCTGTGTCCAGACCTCCCGGGCCCTGCCTTATTGACGATCACCACAAATAGCCCCTCTTCTTCTGGCCTCCCCAGAGCACTCAGCACTAGCCACGGCCCCTGTTCCTGCATGAAGTGTCCTTTCAGGTCCTCTAGTAACAGACACTGAGACGCTGTTAATATACAAGGTTTAGTGGGCAACACATGTGACAGATGAACGGGGAAGGAGCAGAACTGGACAGGGAGTGCCTTCAGCTTGAGATACAGATCTGGCACTGTGAGGAGGGACGGGCACAGAAGCGGGCCTCAAGAACCCTCCCTGTTCTCACAAACGCTCAGTCCGCCCAGCGGAAGCTCAAGGCAAAGACTGCCTGATGGAGGGGTCTCGTGTTGGGCTGAAGTGGCCAGGCCTCAGCTCAGATGCTGGGCTGTTGGGAAGGTGCTAGCTGCCCTCTTCACAGCAGAATGGCAGATTCTTTCTTACCAGTTAGATCCACGTGGTACCCTTTCAATGTGTCCCAGAGTGGGTTCCACTGAACACCAGCACACCAGCTCTTTGAGAAAAGTGGGGTAGCCTGTTCAAAATGTCAGAAGGATTTCCGTCCTTGCATGTCCCTCTTCCTGGGGATCCCAGTGTAAATTAGCACATGAAATCCTCTGAAGAGTCATGCGGAGAAGAGCCTTGCTTTCCAGACCAGAAATGGTGTAAGAGGCTAGGCTTGTGCCACGCT